TACACTGAGCACCTTACACTGAGCACTCCTACACTGAGCACCCTACACTGAGCACTCCTACACTGAGCACTCCTACACTGAGCACCCTACACTGAGCACTCCTACAATGAGCACTCCTACAATGAGCACCCTACACTGAGCACAGTCACACAGAGTCACAGGAGTCACCGATGCCAGGTGGCCATTAGCCTGTGGCTGGGGGAAGTCATCAACCTTTTGCTTCCACCAAGGACGTGAACTACAGGAGACAGTAAGTGAAAGGGATGCCCTAGATGAGGGGTCAGGAAGCTTTTCCGGGAAGAGCCAGATAGTCAATATTTTCAGCTCTGTGGCCCACAGAGTCTCTGCCGCAACTACTCAGCTTTGCTGTTGCGGCACGCGAAAGCAGCCACAGACAATATGTAAACAAACGAGGTGGCTGGGCTCCAGTATAACTCTACAGAAGCAGGCAGCGGGCCACATTTGGCCTGCTGGCCATCGGATGCTCATCCCCAGCTAGATCTAAAGAGGGGGCATTTTAGACAAGATCCCCCAACCTGGGCTTGAAATAAGGAGAAGGTACACAGGATCCCATCAGAGGCACTGGGCAGACTCACCTGGGTCAGGACCCCAAGCAATGATGCCCCAGACGCCTGGTTTTGCTGCCCATCGAGTCTCTAGAGGAAACCAAAGGCGCAGCTTGTGCTGCAGCTCAGGTTATAAGGCAGAGACTTGTCTATGTTTCTCTAAAGATTGGTCAGCAGAGAAAAAAGACTGGATGTGGAGGTATGGCTGGGCAGATAAGGGCAGCAGCTTTTTGTATCAGAATCCAAGAAATGGAGGTGTCCTGGCACAGGGAATAAGACAGAGTCTAGACCAGCTGTAGATAATTTTTACCTTTTTTTGTCACTGGCACACCCCAGCCTGGTACTGCCCCCCATCCTAGATCCTCAGGAAGGACTGAGGCCTCCAAGAAGTACTGCTCAGAACTCCTGGCTTTAAGACATATCCTGGGCCTGTGAGATGGTTCAGCAAGCTGCCAAGCTTGATGACCTGAATTCAAACCCCCAGACCCACATAGGAGAAGGAGAACTCGTCCCTGCAAGCTGTCCTCTGGCCTCCACATGGGTATTGTAGCACTCATGAACACATATAATAATTAACTCAAGACAGTGATTTAAAAAAAAAAAATAAGATGGTCTAGGCTCAACTCTATACCCTAGGAATTATTTTGATAAGTTTGGTCCTGGTCAAGGTAGATTAGAAAAACAGGCAAATAATTATATGAAAGCCAATAGGGGTTTGGTGGGTTGAACTGAAAATAATCATCATTGCTAACCAAGCAGCCACAGTGGCCCTTTGGTGGCACCCCTCAAATAACAGAAACCCTAATGTTAATAACCAGCTTCTCACCATGGTGGGCTGGGGAGCACCACCTTTGAGGTACTAAATATAACAACATGAAACACGGCAAGGAATAGTTTTTAACCAATGCCATCTCTATAGAAATATGATAGCATGGTCTCCAGCAACTGGAATGATCTACTGGACTGCAACGTCTATATAGAAAAAAAAATGTTTTTTAATCAGGAAATATTTTAGCTTCCCAAATAATTTCACACCACTCTAAACTCCTGAGCTATAATTAATTTCAAAGTTAGATGAACATTAAAATGATTTCTCTTGGGCCTGAGAGGGTTTCTTTGTTTTTAAACTTATATGAATGCTGGTTAGAAGTCCCCAAAATATCTATTAATGGTCATAAAAAGATTGGTATAAAAATAAAGAACAAAAACAAAAAGGCATGCAATCATGTAGAAAGATCGGTGTGCTTCCAAAGGCACAACAAGGAAAAACTATGCAGTACTTTAGGAAAGGGACACCCCCTTTCATTCATGGAAAGCAAAATAAGAAGACATGTGCTCACCAGCCAGTTCAGCCTATTTCCACTGGGAACTAGGCTCTGAGGCCTCTGCCTTTGAAGAGCTCCCATGATGGGCCAGGAAGTGTGGTAGGTACAATAGACGTTACCACTCTTCCCCAGAGAGGAAATAATCCCACCCCCTAAATTCTGATTTCCTACAGAATTTTTGTGAGTCCTAGGCAGGAGAGAGATGGCCCCAGATGAGATATATCAGATAGTACAGTGAAACCAAGCAGACTGGAGGATCAGGAGACAGATTCTAGTCCTGGATCTGCCAGCATCTCATATGACCACAGCTTTCACTGTCCTTATCCTTCACAAGAAAAAAATGAGTGTTATAACACTTTCCCTCACAGCCCTCTATAATCCTGCAGTAATGCTGTGTGTGTCCTCTTTTTGAATCATCATAAGCCCATAGTAATGTTGTAACTAGCATTTGATAGATGGACAAATTGAGTTATAAAAATTCTAGTCCTAATCCAAGGTAGCATATATGTAATCTAAAGGTAGTAGGATTGACTGAATTTGTCTTCTGGTTCTAAAGCTTGTGTTCTTCCTACCACTAAGAAACTCTGGGGTGTGACCCTAACAATCATAAAAAACCAAACCTGTGACAAGTCTGAAAGTGACAACACAGAATATCAAGGATTATATTAGATGCACACCTGTAATCTCAGGAACGGGAGGCTGGAGCAGGAAAACCACAAGTTTGAGGACAGTCTGAGTCAGACTGTGAAACTCAGTCTCAAAAAACAAACACAGGGCTGGAGAGATGGCCCAGTGGTTAACAGCACTGGCTGCTGCTCCTGCAGAGGACCTGGGTTCAGTCCCCAGCACCCACATACTGGCTCACAACTCTCTGTAACTCCAGTTCGAGGAGATCAGATGCCATCTCTGGCCTCTTTGGACACCAGACATGCACATGATGCACATACATACATGCAGGCAAAATACTCGTACACATAAAATAAATAAATCTAATAAAAATTGAAACAAACAGAAAAAGTATGAGGAATAGTTATATTAGATACTAGAAAGAACAGACAACAGGAAAAAGGGAGGAGTAAAGAAAAATTTGCCATGAGTAGAGACAGGTGCAGAATCATGAAGCAGAGACCCAAAGCCTTACATATTCCACAACTACTACAGATATTTAAGAACTATTACGTCCCTTAGAGTTAATAACATGTGATGGCTTGCACCTGTAATCTCAGCATCTGGGAAACAGAGGCAGAAACATTTTAAACTCGAGCTGGGCTACACGGCAACATCCCATCAAAGAGAAAGAAAAGATGGTCAAGAATGTGCCTCAGCTCACAGTCTTTGTCTTGAATGCATGGAGCCCTGGGCTGAGGTCGGTTGCCAACACCA